GCAAGATCCAAAGCAGCAGACGCTCGAATTGGGAGAGAGCTTCCTTGCCCTGTGAAGCCTCGACGCAGCCTTCCGTTGCTTCGTTCCTGTGGTCGCCCGAAGAGGTTTCCCGGAGAGACTTCGCCCAATCAATAACCGCAGTTCGAAAAAAAACAAAGAGGTCGGGGATTTTCTGTGCCGTGCGGATTCGTGTGTGAGATTTGGTCCGGAAACAGAAGAGGGGAAGATCGTAAAAGAGTAACACACAAGCTTAAACTGCTAAGAACTGACCGTACAGTTTCTGCTTAACAAACTGCCTAGGACACCAGCACTCTGTCTTTCTCTAGCCTATTGCAGGGTTAGTGTTCCCTACATCATTATTTTCTAATGGTAATAAACTGTTTTTACACAATATCTGTCTCTCGTGTAACGCGTTGGATTACCCTTTTCTCATTCCTTGTTCAGACTGTGCGCTATAAATGTAAAGATATTTAGTTTTTGATGACTAGTGGCGTCCTCAGAGCCTTTCTGTGTATCATCCGCACGCCCTCATGCTGCCTGCGTTGTGTAGGTACTATTGCTGCTGCTCAACTGTTACCAACTTGTACGTGGTGTTCCAGACGAGTAGCCTTTTTATATTATGTTCATCTACCATATATACACTTACTTCACGATCAATTTCACCATCTGACTACTACAATTTTGTACATTCTTAAATAAACATCGATTTCACCATATGAACACCGCTTTGCCAGACACGCTTAAGTCTATGCCAGTTTCATCTTGAGTCGAATACCAGGTATTCTATGCCAGGTTTTCACAGTTTTGTCACCTTGTCCACGCACGCACAGGCTCTCCGTTGCGTAACCTTTTCCCAGCATAGTGTGACCTCAATGCCACGTCACCTGACCCTGAGCGCGACTCAGACGAGAGTTGAGGTCTTGACGAGGCTCTCGAGGTGCTCTTTGGCGCGTAGTCTGAGGGCCACGATGGAGGAGGACCTAAGGTCGTCCTCGGGCCCCGCGATAGGAGGGGAGGAGCGCTCCTGCAGGGACGTGGGTAAGGGCGGAGACATGGGCAGGGGAGGCGTTGTGAAGGCTGCGGAGGTGGTGGAGACGGGGATGGAGGGCGCCGGCGGCGGGGCCACGGCCATGGACGAGGAGGTGGGCGGGGTGAGGTAGGACGGGTAGGTGGCGTGCGGGTGGCCGAGGAAGCCGGGCAGCGGGGGCACAGTGCTGCCCATGTTGGGCAGGCCCCCGTGGATGGAGGGCATGGTGCCCTGCAGGCCCGGCAGGCCCGGGAGGAGCGGAGGGAAGAAGTGGTCGAGGGGGCCGGGGGGACCTGCGGGCCGGTGCAGTAGGCCCAGGGACTGCTCGTGGAGACGCAGCTGGGCCTGCTCCATCTTCTCCTGGCGGCGCCACTTGGCCCGCCGGTTCTGGAACCACACCTGCAACGAGCAAGGAGATCGGCCGTGAGGAGGAGGAACACAAAAGCGAAATAAAGACATGGGTCGAGCCCTAAATCTAAGTACATGGATAGCAATTTTTGAGGACGTTTTTCAGAGAAAGCAGGAGCAGTTGATTGCAGACTTTTGCAATGGCCAATCTGGGCGTGAGGGGAGACAAAAGAACAAAAGGAGAAAAAATGGCAGAGTAAAACAAATCGTCCTCGAAGAGAGAAGGGTTCAGCAGCAAAATTTGTTCTTTGACAAGGACGCGCGCGAGAGGGAACCGTTTCCGCTGACGGCAAGATTGACATGGAAAAGAGGGAACCTTTCGCATTAACAGCACTTCTCGAAAAAGATGCTTTAGTGAAAAGAACTGCCCACGCCCTCCCACAAAAAATGTTCAGAAAATAGAGATGGCACCTGTTAAGGAGAGACGTAATTATTTATGCATGAGCATTTCCCCGGGCCAAAAGCATGCGCTGCGCAGATACGGACGCACGTCAGATGAAACTGACTGACGGGGCGGCGTTCAGGAGGGAGGCTCGTCTGACGGAGGCGCGGGCGAGCAAGGACGGGAATCCGACGGAGGCGCGACATGTGTGGGGAGAGAAGCAGCTGCTGGCGCGCTGTATCACGGATCATATTAGTGGATTACCGCGTCCTTTGAGCGGCGTAATCATATGATCGTGTGAGGGCGCGGGAGGTGTGGTGGGGCGAATCGGGGGAGGGGGGAGAGGCTGTAAATGGTGTTTGTGTGTGGTAAATGGCGAAGGATCACCTCGTGAGAACCGCAAACACTCGTCTTACTCCCACTCGTCCCCTCGCCCTCCCCCTCCCCCTCTCTCTTTCTCTCTCCTTCCCCTCTTCCTCGCCTTGTGCTCCTGCCTCTCTTTCCTCTCGTGCCTGTTCTTCACCCACCCTCTCATTCGTCACTTCCCTGCGCACGTTGTTTATATCTAACTTTGCCTTTCTCCTCTTCGTGTGTTAGGACATCATGTACCGCTCTGTGACCGGTTTTTGGAACGCCTCGCACCGCAGCCAGAAGTTACGCACATACATTAGGATGATGTTCTG